TAGCTAGGGGTAATTCCCCGGGGCCTTTACCTTCTTGCTAGAAGCTTTATTATTATCTAGGCTAGAGGTCTTTTAGAGAAAAGGGGAAAAAGAGCCTAGAGAGCTAGGGTTAAAGTTAGCCTATATAGCTTCCTAGAAGGGTAAGATAAGCCAGAGATAATAGACTAAAAGGGTATTAATCTCCCGAGAGAGAAAATAATAAATAACCTTAAGTCTCTTTAACCTAGAAAAGCCCTTATAAATTCTAATAATTAGTATAATTAGCCCTTAGTCTAGGAAGATATTATAAATACCCTCTGCGGCGGTATTATAATACTAAAGAATTAAGAGCTTATTTAACCTAGCTAGAAGACCGCTACTTAGGTAGATTAGGAAGGCTAGTAGCTTAAGTAGCTTCTTAATGCTTTAGCTATAAGAAGATATAGCCTTAGCTTCTAGGGCTATAGAAGAGCTACTAGGGCTTCTAAACTAGCGGGCCTTAAGAGAAGGGTTTTCCTAGAGAAAAGAAAAAAGCTAGCTCTTAGTGCCTTCCCTAGCTACCTTATAGAGGCTATTTATAAAGGAATAACCTATTAAATTATTAATAGGGTTATCTTAGATAGAGTCCTAGGGGATTAAAGGCACTAAGGCTAGCTAGCTATCCTCTAGGGTATAGCTCTCTTATATAAGAAGCCCCTAGAAGAGAAGAAGCCGGGCTTTATTTAAGGTAGCTTATAGTATATGCTATAGGCTAGGAAGGCTAAGCCGATTGCCTCTATAGAGGATAGTCTCCCCTTCTTAGCTGATATAGCCGGGCTAGGCTATATTAGCCTTAGTAGCTATTCTATAGCTACATAGCTAAAGGATAAACTATATAGGGGTTATATTAGCCCTAGCCGAGCTATTTAGTATATACCTAGTTACGAGCTATTATATTAGCTTAAAGTAGCTAGGGCTAGCTTCTCGAGCTTCTAAAAGAGAGCTATTAAGCTCGGTATACTACTAGATAGCCTTATCTCTTTTTTTAGTTACTTCCCATAAGATAAGTAGCCTAGAGATAAATACTAAGGTAGAGAGAAAAAGGGTAAAGGTCTTAAAGCCTAGCTAAGAGCTATTAGGGGTTATACTAAGCATAATAAGAAAAGAGACTATAATGCTATTAAACTTACTATCCTTAGTCTAATAATCTAAGATTAAGATAAAAAGCGCTAAGGTCTTCTCTTTTAACCCCCTATAGAGCTCTATAACCTTAGGGCTAGAGAAATTAGCTCTAGCTAAGAGCTAGGCTTCTTTTAGGTTATTAAGGTTATTAGAGAGAGCCTTATAGCTAGCTAATTATTATTAGCTTGCTTTAAAAGGTAGCCTCTCTATGGGCTCTAGGTTAAGGCAGCGAAAGGTATAGACTAAAAGCTACTTTATTATTATAGCATAGCAGCTTTATATAGCCTTCTTATACTTATAGCTAAAGGGCTTCTTTATTAGCTATAAGGCATCTTACTAGTTAACCTTAAAGAGAGCATTCAAAGGAATCTCATTAGAAGCTATAAGGCCTATAGCTTTTTAAATAAGCTCTTTAAAAGCCCATAAGAGGAAGAAATAATCTAGCTTAGAGGTCTCTTTTAGAGACTCTTTAGTTAGGGAAAAATTAAGAGAAAATAGCTCTCTTAGGAAGTCCTTTTCCCTACTAAAGTTAGCTAGGTACCTTATTAATCCTAGCCTTCGAAGCTAAGGGTTAGGAGTAATAAAGTCATTAAGCTACTTTATAGCCTTAGCCTCCTTACTTCTAATAGCTAGGGCTTAGGCCTTAAAGGTAGCCTTAGCCTCTAGAAGAGAGAGAGCTTTAGAGCTATTACCTTCTAGTAAGACCTTAAAGTATTTACTGCGAGGCCTTTACTTAAAGAGCTACTAATAGGCTATGCCGGCTCGCTAATAGCTTTTAGTAGCTATAGAAGGCTGCGAGGCTATTGCCTTAGAAGGCTGGCCCTTCTAACCCTTCTGCTATACCTTATGAAAGACCCGTAGGTGCTCTCTAATTCGCCATAGCCTAGAGCTAATATAGAAGTAGCTAGGCTTAAAGGTATAGCGGAAGCCCTATTACATAGGCTCTCTAAGTTATGAGATAAGAGGGCCTAGAGGAATAGGCTTAGGTAGCCCTATAAGGTCCTTCTGGCCCTAAAGAAGATTAAGCTTAGTAGTTTACTCTAAGGTAGGCTTAATCTCTTAGAGGGAAAGCTAGTAAGGCTATTAGTAGAGGTATTATTAAATTTAATTAAAAAGAACTATGGTTTTATAGGTCTTATAAATTAAAAGGGAAAAAGCAGGGATATAAGTAAAATAATCTATAATAATAAGGCTTATAAGTAGCTAAAATATAGGTAAAGGTAGAGGTTAAAAGTAGATAGTTAGGAAAGGTTAGAGTCTTTATAGAAGAGTAAATAAAAGAGGAAAAATAGAGGTTAAAGCTTATTAGCTAAGGAATTACCTTAGCTATAGCTAGCGAGGTGGTTAGTATAGCTAGGTACCTAGGTTATAGCGGTAGTTAGGGAGTTTTAGCGTAGCGCTAGCTATATTAATTACCCTATTAAAATTTCTCTTAATTTTCTTTAAAAATTAATAATTAATTCTAAAAAAATACTATAGGAAAAGGGATTTTATTTTTAAACTCCTCATAGCTTAAGGTTATATATATCTTCTTTTTATAACCTTAGCCTTAGTAGAATCCTCTTTTTTAAAAAATATCGGCTAGTTAAAGAAAAAAATATCGGCTGCCCTATAGTCTACTCGCATAAAAAATTTCCCCTATAGAAAAAAAATATTAGTAGCTTAGCCGACGTTTTTTATAGATAATAGGGATTTTTAATATATATATTTATTTAATATATATGCTTATTATATATATTATATATATAATAATTAAATTATAAAAAAATAATAATAAAGAAAAGTTAATTAAATTAAGTATTTAATATTTAATATATATAATAAACTTAGTTATAATATAAAGACTTATTAAGTAATAATTAAAATATATAGGGAAAAATATAATAAATAGTTTTAATTAATTAAATAATTTATAGTATTTTTATTATAATTTTTAATACAAAGGTTAGGATTTTTATTATATTTACTTATTTATTTTACTTACTTATTAAGTATATTAGTTTAACCTTAATTATTATTATTTTTATTATATATAATAAGTATATACTTTTTAAATAAAAAATTAATAATATCTTAAAAAAGTAATATTAATTTTAATATATATAATCTTTAGGTTTATATAATTAAAATAATAACTTATATAAATAGAGATTATTTTATAGAAAGAGAGTTAATAATAATAATAAATATAAAATATAATCTTAAAATTAAGAACTTTAATTTAAATAAAAAAATAACTTATCTTAGAAAGTTTATATAAAAAAAAACTTAATTAAATTTAATTTAATATTATATTATATAAGAAATAATTATTAATTAAAATTATTTACTTATAAATTTAATTATAAATAATAGCTCTAAGAATTAAATTAGAAAAAATAAGATTTTATATTATAATTATAATAAGATATAAATAAAAAAGCTTAATAAAATAACTATTAAGGCTAAATTAAAAAAATACTTATTTAGTCTTTTACTATAGGACTAATAAAATTAAAATTTAAGCTTAATAGTCTTATCTTAAATTAATAATTTAGAAATTTAATCCTAAAAAAGACTTTAGGTATATAAGATATATTTACTATATTCTTTTATATATTAATTACCTTAGCTATTAATATAACTTAATTAAACTTTAAATCCTTAAGTATCTTACTAGATATAACTTATAGAACCTATTTTAAATTATATATTATATTCCTCTATTCATCTAAACCTAGTATAACTAGTTTACCCCTTAAGTATTATATAATTATTATAAGAAGTAAAGGCAAAAATAGCTTTCTTAATATTATAAGAAATTATTAAGTAGATTTAAGGCCTAGTAAATGGTTTTTATTAACTTCCTGCCTCTAGGCATAGTCAGGTTTTTCCTAATAGTTGACAACTTTTATCCTAGCCGCCGGTTTCCTAACGGATCCTAAATCTACATTCAGAGTACATATCGATCCCCTAGTTAAAGTTAAGGTGCTGTAATAACAGGAATTGCTAGCGCCAATTCATGTAGAGAATGCAGAGGCTAAGAGAAAGGACAATAATTAAGCAGGGAGGCCCTATTCCAAAGCTCTGCTCCCTAGAAACCACTCTTTTGGACATCTCTAATAAACAGATATAGTTCCCAGGTCTCAGCTTTGTATATATTATGCTACATTCTTATATTTTGCGCTGGATAGTGAAAGTCGATCAAGCAAGACGTAAAGGAAAAAAAACCTCTTAACGTCCAGACGCCGTATAGCTAGGTCAAGTTTCCCACTAGGTGGCCATCTACCGCCGCCTCTCATAACAACGACTACCTAAGCTTTAGACTAATCCTTCCACTCCGGGAGGAACTCGCCCCTCCCAAGTAGAAGCTTTACCCTATAAGCATCCTCATTCAGAATCCCGTCTTTATCCGCAATATACTCCGCCACAGTCTTAGTCGAGTCCACATACCTTCCTAACAGAAAGTCCAACCTTCCGCTCGCCAACACCACCACCATACCTGCCGGCATTTATGGCGTATCGAAAGGTATGTCTTTAAAGAAGCTTACCACTGCCTTGGCTGACTTCTCTTCACCCGGCACGTCTCTCGACACGTAACTACTCCCCTCACCTCCAGATTTCCCTTCCGCCGCCTCCGCGAAGTCTATATAGAACCTCGTTCGAATCACACCCGGGTGGAGGCTAAACGTCCGAATTCCAGCATGCTTGTTCTCGTGGTATAAGATTTCTGCCAGCCTACTCACTCCAAGCTTGCCGATCGTATAGCTACCCATGCCCTCGGTGGCATAGGCGCCGGCGCTTAACGTGAAGATCAACGTTCCGCCGTTTGAAGATTAGCGCATGAGCGGCAAGGTGGCGCGCGCCAAGTTGAACGATCCTTATAGCGAGATAGCAACCGTGTCCCACCAGATAGTCGGTTCAGACTCGTGCACCGGCAGAAACTGTGGAGGACGGCCCGCGTTCATAAAGACGACGTCGATGCGGCCAAATTCATATGCTATCCTATCCACAAATTGCTGCACAGCCGAGAAATCAGTAATATCAAGCGCGGCTATCCGCACCGCGAGAGCTAGGTTGATGGCGCTGCAGAGGCGACCTATCTCGTTAACCTCGGTGAGTTCGAGAGCGAAAATGCTCAGGGACGAGATAGCTATATATGCGAACAGTTCAGCTGTGGCACGGCCGATGCCTCGACCGGCACCGGCAATGATAACATGCTTATCTCTGAGCGAGTTGGCAAGCTCCTTGTTCTGGCGAGGGTCAGAGTCGAACTCGCAATCGTGCTTTTTGCCCAGAGTCATATTCGTCCAGGCTTTAATATAGCAGTTGCCTAAATCGACAAGAGCTTAGGGTCAGGACAGGGCGGAAATATATATAGCGCCACGGCTTGCGAAGGAATAGATGCGGAAATCCCGAGATGACCAACGTTAGACGAAAACTGCCCGTTGCGTATGCTCCGAGGTACAGAGCTATCGGATCTCTCGGCGAATGCAACCCCGCGATCGCTCTATAGCAAACTGCCGTGTCTCGGCTCGGAAGCATCGGCTTTTTATGAGCGGGGTCTAAGTCTAGTGTTTCGGGAAGAACGGATCCGTTCACTCCGTCTAGATACCTAATGCACCCACCTTCCGGGAGCCCGGCTTTTCGTCCCATAAAGGTTTTTAAACAGCTATCATCAATTTTGCCAGCTTGCTTACTCCCTATGTTTTCATTTTGCGTCTACTAGGACTTTCATCTTAACATTTAAGCTCAAATCATAAAACCAGTCAATCTATAATGCCTTCCTCGACCACACTGCTTAATCTACTGAAAAGCTAATTGCTCCCTTATGGTCTCCATAGCTTATAATCTATAAATATCATTATATTTCTATATTAATTTTATAAATAGCAGTACTACATACACGTCTAATAACTACCGTTTGTATTCTTTATCAGCTACCACGGTCAGTCCCCTTATTACCTAAACTATGCTCATATCTTGGAGTAAGTGGCGAGTCTCGCCTCGGTCAGCTGAGTGCCGCGAAATTTCCTAATTGAGACAATAGCCGGAAACACCCCGTGGGCTACTATACAAGGTTTTAGTACACACTTAGATAGTCGCGTAAAGAGCTACCTAATAGAGCATGTTTCTGGATACCTACCTAGATAGACTATATTTATTAATATCACCTGAATTTAAGTCCTGAATCCGGTCGATGTCTAAAGCACCCCTCGTAGACTTAATCTAAACTTCATACATCCCATTCTAGTCTCAAGGGTAGTAATAATACTATAGTCCGCAACTTATCTAGAACACGACTAAACAGATAGAGCGGATTTAGCTATAATCACGTGCCTAATAACTACTCGGACTACGAGGGAGTTAAGTCGTGCTTTATGGTAGCTAGAAATACAATTCCCGTGCTACAGTGGCGGCCCGAGACTAGGGATTATATTTTCTTATGTTTAATAATATATGAATAGCCTTAAGAAGGCTTAAATTACTAATGTCAATTGATTAGGTTAAGTGCTATTTACTAATGGTCTTTTTATTAGAATCAGACTTTAATTCGTGGAGAAGTGAGGTAGCTACGACGTGTGAGGCGGTTATAGCAGTGACGCAGTTACAGGTTATAATGCCCCCTCTATGATGAACAGAGTATGGCCAGGTAACGTGACGGCCCACCCTTTCGCGCTACACCCTTTCGCGCACCTATATCGCGATGCATATTCATATATACTCTATATATATTCTTCTAACGTACTTGAAAAGTATCAGACAGTACGTATATTTGGTCCATTGGTTGAACCAATGTATTCGTGTTGTGTTCGTATTTTATTCGTGTTCTCGTTGAGTATCTGCCCCTGAAGGACCCTGCTTTTAATCTTAAAATCCTTGACCTACACAAGACACCCCAGCATATTCAACAATTCGCTCAACATATCAGCCTACATCCTTGACGAATGGCACGCACTAGAACCACCTTGTGGCGCCGTCCTCGGCTCTTAAGATGACGTACGCGTTGCGTGGTGGTCGACATGCCTTCTCTCTAACCCACTCAACCAAAGGTGGCGACTTAGTGGGTTTCAACGTCCACACAGCCCTCGCACGGGTGGCTCCGTGGGCGGGGAGCATCCGCAAGTGCCGGCGCCACCGCCCATCAGATGTGCCCACAAAGTTGACTATAAATGATATGCATGTTTTGAAAGTGCCAATGACTATTGGGACAAGAGCGCTTCTGAAAGTAAACCTCCCCATCTGTTTATTATTATTATTATTTACTGTTATTATAGCTATACTACCTAATATACTTTCCAAGATATCTAAAAGCTATGGCTAGCTTCGCCGTAGGTTCTTTAATAGGCGTATCCCCGATATTTATCCTACTGAGATTATTAGCCTAATAACTATAGCTAAGGTCGTAACCGCTATTAAGATAGTATATAAGCGTGGCTAGAAGATTAGCGTCTACTCCGGCGGGTACTTATGTCAAGCGGGATCCTATATAATAGCTCTGAGGGTGGTCACGTGAGACCTATGGCTAGCTAATCTCCGGCCACGCGGCTACGCTAGTCCTAATCCAGAAGGCCACATCGCGGCCCAGAAGGGAAAGAGAGAATAGCCTTAGGGATAATAATAATAAGTAATTATAATAGATTAAAGGATAAGCCTATAATTAAATAATTAAGAGTCTTATATACTAATTAAAGAGAATTAATTAAGGAGTAAACTAAAGAGCTTTTACTAAGTAATCCCTAAATAATAATAATAAATATAAATATTAAGCTAGCCTCTAATAATAACTAAGTAGCCTAATATAATATCCTTAAGGTAAAGATAAAGAACTAAGACTTATAGGATTATATTAACCTATTAGCTAAGAATAAGCCGATTTTTATATTAACCTCTCTAGTAAAGTTAGAGGTATAAAGCTTAAAGAAAAGAGGACTTAGAATAAGGTTATAAGAGGATAATAAGATATTATTAATATAAGGCTTAAGTAATACCCTCTAGGAAGAAAATATTATCCTTAGAGATAATATTAATAAAAGCCTAAGAGCTAAGGCTATCTTTAACCTTACGGCAGGCTAATTATAAACCTATAGCTCTCTTTAGATTCTCTATAAGTACTTCTACTTAGAGTATATAGACCTAAAAAAGAGAATTACTAAGATATAAGACTAAGTCCTAAAGATAATTAATAAGCCTTTTATTTATTATTATTACTTAGTAAATAATACTTTTAATTAATAAATTAAGTCCTTATATAAGGAATTCTTATTTATAGTAATAAAATAAAAGAAAAAAATAAAGAAAGAATATAAGAATTACTTAGCTAAGGCTTATTAAGGCTACTTAAATATAATTTAGTCTATTAATAAGTAAATTATTAATTAATATAATTTAATTAATAAGGTAAAGGATAGAAATTTCTAAGAAGCTAAGGAAATAAATTAATAATTCTTAGATCTCCTTAAAGTATTTTATTTATCTCTCCTCAAGTCTTAGATCCTTACCTATAATATTATAAAATAAAATTATATAAGGGAGAATACCCTTATAATAGCCCTTATAATTATAGATATAAAGATAGCCCTAAGTAACCTTTAAGAACCTCTAAGGAAAGGAAAAATTAGGTATAGAGCCTTCTTAGCGGCTAATAGAGAATAATTAAAGGATAAAGAGGAGCCCTAATAAAAAAAGGGCTAGCTTAAAGTAATACTAAAGGGGAGGAAAAGAATTAAAGACGCTAGAGATATAAGGAAGTAATTAATATACCTAGCCTATAATAGCCCTTACCTATTAAAGAATTATTATAGTATTTTCTTAGAGAAGAGGTATTAAGGTTATATATTAAATACTATTAGGGAAGAGGTAATAAGAAAGAAGATAATCCTTAATATTAATAGCCTAGCTAATAAAATATAGAAAATTAAGATAAAAGGATTAGCTTAACTAAGATTAATTAGCTCTAGTAATTACTTAGCTACTCTTATAACTACTAATTATTATCCCCTCTAGGATTATATCTTATTAGACTTAGGGGCTATCTTATATATCTTTAGGGATACCTTAAGACTTAGGAACCTAAGGGTAGCCTAGGTAGGCAACTTCTTTTAATTAGGGATTAACTAGGTGCCTATTAATAAGTATATAAAGGCTATAATTATATTAAGAATAGCCAAAGGGGCAAAGAAGAGGTTATAGCTCTAAGATATAGCCTATTGCCTTAGCCTTATAATAAACCTAGTATCTTTCTTAAAGCTATAAAAATAAGGCTTTTAGTAGGATATAAAGCTAAGAAGGAATTACTTAAGGAGAGTAAATAAAAATTACCTAAGAGAGATTAAGGAGATTTAAGGATAATAAGTTCTTAAATATAGAGATAAGCTAGTATAAGGCTAAGTAGCTCTAATAAGGCTAATAGCTAATTAGGCGCTAAAACCCTTTTATTAAAATCCCCTTAAAAGAGGACTTATAGATATATAAGTTATATAATATAAAGGCTACTAAGAGGAGATTCTCTTATATAGTATAAAAGGCTTAGATACCTAGGGCTAGATATCCTCTATTGCCTTATTATAGCCTTAAGGGGTATAAGGCTATAAATAAATA